TTGCAAACCCTGTTAGTATTCCTGACCATCAGTATGACTAAAGAGGGCAAAGGTTACAGTACAATGAACCACAGACAAATCAGTATACTAAGCCTACAAAGATAAATGATCTCTATTGGAAATCAAAGTCAGTTTCCTAACCATTTTTCCTCCAGGAAACCTAGAATGTTTATTTCTATAATCTAGGAATTGAAAATTTGTAGCTTTTGAGTTTGACATGCTCTTAATTTCCTGATAGGTTTTATATTCAGAGGTCTGTGCCTCAGTTTTCTGTGCTTGAAATGTGAGGAAAACCTTTCTGCTCCAAAGTTAAATGATTTCCAGAAACAATGATGTCAAGGAATAGGAGTAGGGGTAGTTTTTACTTTGGTGAAAATTGAAATGTCAGTGTTAACTACTAACCTTTCCTTACTATCTTCTGCTAACTTGTCCTTGACTCTGGAATTTGAATAGCTATGTACCTACTTTTGGACAAAAACAAGATCAACAAATATTTTTAGAGTAGGTTCCTTGTTCAGTGCTGGGGCTACAGCTGTGATCATGATTAAGCCCCTATCCACAGGAACCTGGAGTCTCCTAGAATGACCCTTTCCCTGTTCTGTCCTGAAGTTCTCTGGTCAGCCCCTGATCTATACTCATTACACTTCATTCACTTATTAAACAAACATTTGGAGGAGCATCTGCTAAATTTTGGGTATGGTGCTTGGTTAGGCTTAGTGAGGAAGAGAGAGAGGCTTGTCCTCATGAAGCTGCCAGTCCCCATTTCAACTTAGTTTCTCCTCTGGTGTCACAAAACAACATCACTCCTCCTTATGTACTCCCTGAACACTTAGTTCCTACCTCTTTACAGCATTTGCATTGTTATGATTATAATGTATTTCCCCATGTCCTTTTAAACCATCAGCACCTTGAAGGTAAGAATTTCAACTTTCTTTCCCTAGTGTCTTGCATTCCCTAGTGTGTAGCACATAGAGAGCTCAGGAAAAACTTTAATGAGTAAATAATTGTATGAATTTATAAATTCATGAATCTGTGGAACCCATAGACCAATTTGCCCTCATCTTCCATTCCACATCTTGCATGAGGAACTTAATGATCAATCATGTCAGTACTGAAACACTACTCATGATGTCAAGGACATTCTAAACAGAAAAGCACCTGGTCCATGGGTCATTTCTTCTAAGATGTATCTGCCATTGAGAGAAAGAACAAATATTAGCATCAGTTTTGTGTGTAATACTTTTGTGCAGAACAGCAAGCATGATTACATACAATTTAAATGGAATAATCATGTAATAAACAAATGAGCTTATTTGTTACTCTGATACTGTTAGAGATACTTCAGTAAGAAAAAATACACAACACTTTTTTAAACAAGTCAGAAGCATTGTTTCTCCTTCATGTAAAAGTTCAGGAATAGTCCAGTAGCAAAGTGCTGCTCTATGAAATCCTTAGCTCGTGATTTCATCCTTCACTGCAGTGTGACTCATGGTTCAAGATGGACCCCAGCAGTCACATCCACCTCCATGAAGCAGAGTGAAGAGAGAGAGATGAAGGGACAGAAAGCAAACACTAGTTTTCCTACATAAGACTCCCAGAAACCATCACAGGTCATGTCAGTTTACATCTCATTGGCCAGAACTTAGTCACATGACCACACATAATCATAAAATTGGGGAAAGTAGTCTTTATTTTGGACAGCCATTTGTCCAGCTAAAAATGATTTTACTGGGACATAAAAGAATGCAAATACAAGAGGTACAGTTAGAAGTCTGCTGGGTGAAGCGACACACGCCTGTATTCCCAACAGTCTGGGAGGTTGAGGAGGGAGGATGGCAAGTTTTAGCCCAGCCTCCGCATCTTAGTGACTTAGTGAGATACTGTCTCAAAATAAAAAATAAGTAAACAAGCCAACAAATAAAGAAAAGCCTAGGGATGTAACTCAATGCAAAGACTACATTCAATTCCCAGTACTGCAAAAAAAAGAGTCTGCTGTAGATACTAAAATTAAAGTGTTGTGATGATGCAGGAGCTTTTATTATTCTAACTACTGCAAGCTGAGGTTACAGAAATGAGCTCCAATTGCTAAACCACTGTGCTAGGATTGCACTTGGTCCTGCCCTGATTGTCAGCGTCTAGGGTGTGGGAGGAATAAGCTAGAGAGGAAAGAAAGCTGTTGTAACAGCTTTGGGTAATGGGAGTCTGGACGAAGGCACTGGAAACAGGAACAGGAAGGAGAAGGCAGACCAAAGTGCAGGCAGAACCACAGAACAAAGGATTCAGATGCTAAAGGAATGGGAGCTAGGGGATCTTAAATGACTCTTAGTTTTGAAAGCAAATTGGATCTGGTAACTGGATGAAAAAGGGTGGTCTAGAGATTACTGTAGACTGGCAGAGGTAACTGCTCTAAATTGCCCTTCAATCTCTCCATCTATTGCTTCTTGTCATGAATTTTCTGTTGAATAGACTAATGAAGTTAGTAAACTTCCCCAAGTAGTTAATCTTTCACAGGGAAAATTTAATAGATCTTAGTGACTTACTCTAGCCAGTTATAATGTTCCATCTTCTACGTAATTCAGTACACAGCACTCCTTAAAATAATTCTAAGTTCTTGAGGCATTTTTAACTCAAGTACCAGCATTTTTCACTTGAATGAACTGAAATCCCCTATGTAGAAAATGAACTTGGTATTACTTTCTTTCCCAAATTGTTTGGCAGTTTAAAATACATTGGCATTTAAAGGAGCTGGCACAATGCCTGATCAATAAATGCTAGTTTCTCTCTTTCCAAAGGTTTTTTTTTTGGGGGGGGGGGACTGGGGATCGAACTTGGGTCCTTGAGCTTGTACAGCAGGTGGCGAAACCACTGAGCTAAATCCCCAGCCCTCCAAAGTATGTTTTTATGCACCCTTTCAACAAACATTTATATGTCATTTACTAGTTGAGAGGCTGTACTAAGTGCTGGAGAGAGGATGGATGTGAATTTTGTCAGAGGAGACAAAGTTCTAATTTTGTTTTCCATTTCTGAGTGTAGAATGTAAGCTCTGATCCTATACACCAGAGTTCTTGTCTGCTGGATTGGAAGCTCCCGAGGACAGGAACATGTGTTTGTTACCTGCAGAGTCCCAGACCTTGGCATGTACAGACATGTACTTTTTAAATGTATGAATGAACATACAACCAACATCCAAGCAAAGAATTCAAAAATCTAAAAGTAGGACTTGAGTCTAAAAACTGGCTGGTCATGGATATTCAAACATTGCTGGGGCAATTCCATGGAAATTGAGTGTCTACTGGGTGCACCTTCTGTGTGAGGCCCATCCCCCCTGCTAAGGGGTAAAAGGCAGCATATGACAGTGGTATGGAGCTGGGCTCTGGAATCAGACATATATGCATGTAACCATAATAAAGTTTCCAAAAGGGGAGTTCCAAGATCCAAGGTATAAGGGCCCATCTTCTTACAGATGGCCTTTCCTAGCCTGGCAGTTCAGGCCTAGTCACCCTCCTTAAAGGTTCCTGTAAGTTGCTCACTGTGTGACTGTAGTTAGGTTAACATGGGCTGAAATCCAGTGTGCTCCACTCCTCCAGACTAGATCTGCCCCAGAATGAGCTCTTTTCTTCAGTTACACAAAGGCCCCACAGCTTACCACATTTGTGGACCCCTGAAAGTTGGAAGATTAGATGTTTTCCAGCCACAGTTTGGGCCAGAGGAGGCTAGGAGGAGGGAGAACATGTGGAAGATCTATGTATTTTGAAAGCCTGAGATGCTTAAGGAAGGAAGTTCAGCAAGGCTGAAGTGTGAAGTTCAAGAGAATACCAGCAAGAGTGAGGCTGGAAAGGGATTTGCCATAGTTGGCATTTTCCATGAATTTACTTGTTGTGCTGATGGCTCTCCATGCATTATTTTACTAAGATCACAGAAATTAAGTGACCTGCTCAAAATTTCATGTTAGGAAGTAGCAGTATTATGATCCAAAGCTGGGTTTAATCCCAGAGCCAATGATGTGAACCACTTGTTCTACCAAATGCAAAGATTAGCAAAGGTGGAATGCAAAGAAACAAAACTGAAAGATGCAGAGGCCAGTTAGGAAATATTTGGCAGAAATCCAGGTAAATAAGACTTCCAGTGGCCCTGGAATAGGAGAAGAGCAGATGTGTTCCAGAGATATTTAATAAGCAGAATCTATAGTACTTTGTGATTATCTTATTTATTTTCTCATTGCCAAGACACAATACACAACACTCACAACTTAAAGGAGGGGTTTACTTTGGCGTGAGTTTTTAGAAGATTCAGTCCAAAGTCAGCTGGCTCCAAGGCAAGAAGTACATGGTAGAAGGGTCTGGCAGAGGAAAGCTAGTCACTTCATGGCATCTAGGAAGAAGAGAGAGAAAGTAGGAGCCCCAGAGGGAGATATCAGTAAACTTTCCAAGTCACAGCCCCAGCAAGCTGCCGCCACTGACCAGGCCCCACCTCCTGACAGCAAGTCACATTATAAATTGGAGCCAGCAATCTGCACAAAAGGAGGGGGGAACCTTAAAAAAATAAATGATCTTTTCTGACATTTTTGTTTGGTTCCAAGTCAGATTTAAACTTAAATATGCCTTGTTCTGTATTTTCTAGAAGAATCTGAGTGCTGAACAAATATCATTAATATTACAATAAAAGGATCCGTTACCACTAAACCCAATTCTGTGCATTATTCATGCAGAAGAATGAATGAAGCACAGCCCAAAAGTAGCATCAGTGGAGGTCCTAGCTTATCAATGGCCTCTTCCAAACATGGCCTCTCATAACAGAACACAGTCCTTCAATGATATGGGCAAATTAAGTGCTCTGTATCTTACATGCAGTACTGTAAAACTGTGACTCTAAGTCATTGCCTTCTCCATCTGCTACCCCTAAGCCACTCTAAATTGAAATTCTGAGGCACCTCTGTGGCAGTCATCATAACAAGATGGGATATCAATTTCGCTGAGTCCATTTTGCCTCTTTACTTTCAGAAAGCATCACTGACAGCCTCCACAGGATGTGGCCTCTGAAGACTCAAGGACCATCCACCCTTCCTGTCTGCAATGGAGAAGGCAGAAATGGAGATGCAGGCACCAGAGCTTCCATTCTGTTAGTGATCACTCCGTAGACTTGTGTCCCCACCACAGAGCATGAGCTGCTCCAAGAGAGAAAGTTCTCAGGGCCCCCAAATCACTATCACCATTGAGTCTCTGTCCTGGAGAGAAGGCAGAATCATGGCATCTTACAGCTGCTGTTTGGTCCTCTTGGCCCTTGCCTGGCATTCCTCTGCCTATGGGCCTGACCAACGAGCCCAAAAGAAAGGAGACATAATCCTTGGTGGGCTCTTTCCTATTCATTTTGGAGTAGCAGCCAAAGATCAAGATCTAAAATCAAGGCCAGAGTCTGTGGAATGTATCAGGTAAGAGAAAGAGCCAAATCTGAGAGTCTGTTCTGGGTAGTTGGAAAAAAGCTGTACCAAACCCCAAATAGCTTTTAAAACTTGGTTCTCTCCTTTCAAAAATACTGATTCATGCTAACACTTATTGGCCTTTCCTCTTTTTTCCCTAAAGAATTTTTTTCCAACACTAAAATGTCAAGGGTACCCAGTAGAAAAATCCATAGCCTGTTAAAGCCCAGCCCTTTCGTAGCCAGGTCATTACTGGTCACATGGCGGGAGCACCTGGTGACAGTGTGGCTTAATGGAAGACTAAGTACCTAGAAGGAAGTGCACTGTAGCTCTTGCAAACTTTAGTAGTAAATTCTCCCCTGACCTTACATGCCTCAGTCAGTGGTCGGTTATACCTGAGTATTCTCTCTCTCTCTCTCTCTCCCTCCCTCCCTCTCTCTCTCATCTCACTGCCTCTTCTGTCTCTTTATCTCTGTCTCTGTGTCTCTCTGTGTGTGTCTCTGTCTCTCTCTCTCATCTCTCTGCCTCTTCTGTCTCTTTACCTCTGTCTCTGTGTGTCTCTCTCTGTCTGTCTCTCTCTCTGTCTGTCTCTCTCTCTGTCTCTCTCTCTCTCTCTGTCTCTCTCTCTCTCTCTCTCTCTCTCTCTCTCT